CAATAGGGCTGGAGTCAAGGACGGAGATCCGGGGCCAGGGACTTGGTGGGGTCTCCTCCTTTCCACACGGTGGAGCCGAAGTTGTCGGAAAACATCAGCATGAAACGGAAAGAAAACAAACATGGCGACTAGGTCTCAAGGGCCAGAGACAGAATCAGGGGCAGCAGGGATCGGGGTGAAGGGCCACGCGGGTTGGATGAAGGGGAAGTCCGACGGGATCGCCGGGAACTCACTGGAGGAGTCAAGTCCACTTGGCAGTCACGCCCGTCCGGCTCAGAGAGGCCAGAGGAAGGCAGCGAACTGGTGGAGGAAGCACAGCGTCAACGGGAGTGGGCCGGTCTCACGTGGGAAGAGGAAGGACGCCTGGGGTTTTGAGTCGGGGGGCCGCAGAACCTGCACTCTCCCCTGCACCCCGCTTGGCAGGAAGGCAGCCGGAACTGCGGAGCCACACACGGTTGGCCCAGGCTTGGAGACTCCCGAGGATGCATGCTCTTCGGGTGTGCTTGGCAAGCAGCTTGCCCCAGCGGTGCTCAGGGAAGTGGTTCAAATGAAGATGCCAGGACCATGACTGCGGGACTCTTTTGTTTTTTTTTTAGAGACACAGTCTCGCTGTTGCCCAGACTGGCATGCAGTGGCGTGATCATGGCTCACCACAGTCGAGAATTGCTGGGCTCAGGTGATCCTCCCTCCTCGGTCTCCCAAGTAGTGAGCCTACAGGTGCACACCACCACGCCGGCTGAAGGGTGTGGGATTCTGATCCAACAGAGCGCTTTTCTAACGGGCCAAACCTCCAGCTTTGGGGACGACAGAAGGGGACTCATGCACATGACTGTTCTCAGCCAGCTAGCACGGCCCCAGAGGCAGGCAAGATGAACCAAGGGCGCAGAGTCATCTGCTGGTCTCTTTGGATTGTGTTTGGGCCTCTCTTCGCCCCCTCCACGGACTCCTGGGTCCACTCACTTCACGTTGACTTCAGGGACCTGCTGCTCCTCTTCTCCTGTTGCTTTAGCCCCCGCACCCGCACCGGGACCTCATGAGCCACGAGGGCGCGCAGACGCCCGCACAATGGCCTCCCACCCCCTCTGTCTCTCTTCAAGGCAACCTGCTTGGATTGACCACACTCACAGGATGTGGATGAAGTCCGTGTGGACGGAAGTGTCCAACTTGCTCGAGTGGTTTGGATGTTGGAGGAGACGGAAAATGACGAAAGGACCCAAGGATGCTTTATGGCGTCTGTTGGCACCGTTCCGGCATGATGTCTTCCCACGGCACTAGGCATACTCAGGGCACTGAGAGTGCCCTCTGCCCCTCCTCTTCACTCAGATGCCCCCTCAGGAAGCGTCTCTCCTGAACATGACACTGCTCCTAAGGAACGTATGCTGGGGAGTAGCAAAGTGTTGGTCAAATCTAAGGGGATGATCAGTGCCATATTTCGAAGACTCTAAGAGGTACGTATTTTCCTATCCATTACACATTGGTAAGCATTCTGTCACAGTTTTATTCATAGACTTTTCTTCATAGTACATTAAATAATTGATGAGGGTCTTAGACTTTATGAAACGTTACGTGCAGACACATCTTGCACCAGAATGATCATAAATAAAACTTCTGGTTGAAAGAGTCAAGGAATATAATTGTCAGAATGGTTTATTTTGTAGCAAATATCATACATCAAAATCGAGGCAGCACAGCCCATTAAAATAAGCATTGAACTTGGCATCTAACAACATGGGTCTTTGAACTTCACTTGCCTCATCTGTAAGATGAAGATAATGGAGCCCACTTTATCGTGTGGTTATAAGTAGATGAAATTATTATTTTGATGGGAGTTTTATGAACTCTAACATGCCATAGAAATCATAGATAATTTCACTCAATAGCTAATATTAAGTGCAACCCTGAATCTGTTCAGAAAGTGGTATAATGCCTTTTATATGGTTCAGGAGACGATTTGGCGTGTTGTGACATTGCCTCTAGGGTTACCACAACAAGAATCTTCTCTGGATATGTAAGGCATTTAAGTGCACAGAATATCACAGGTATTTAGGGCTCAGTAGATGTAGCTGAGAAAGCACCAAGCCTCTGACATCTTTGGAGCTGAATGGCCTCTGGGAAGACACTATAAGTTTCCTGCTACAGTCGTGAGCAAGATAAGGATGTCCTCTCTCTCCACTGTCATTTTGCATCGCACGGAGGGAATTAGGCCCAGACTTGAAGAAGACAGGTAACTAGAACCAAAGGAGGGAAGTAAGGACAAAAACTATATTGATTTGAAAGTGGCATGATTATAGATTGGAAAGCTCCCGTAATTAATGGAAAAAATTCAAGCAATAAGCAAACAATAAATAGCAGCTTAAGAAAACATAATCTGATGACCTTTCTCTCTACAAACACTCGTCAGTTAGAAGTTCTAATGGATGCATAGGAAATAAGAGAAAAACATCAAGCTCTCCTACAAAATAGAAAAGGAGACTTGAACAAGCAGACAGGCTGCATTCTGGTGCGGAAGACTCCGTGTTAAAAATTCTGCCTGATTCACAGACGTGATGCAGTCTCAGTAACATGCAGTCGTTCTGCTTTTTTTCCGGTAGCAATGCACCGGTTTTATAGCTCAACAGAAAGAGCAGGCACACTCCTCAGGAAGACCCTCAGGCCCTCTCCCGCTCAGCCCAAATACTCGCTGGCATCTCTGCAGCTGCAGCGTTTACCCCGAGATAACATGCAGATTATCGTCCTGACCTTAGCCCAAAGTTGCCAGGGAAAGCCCTGCTTTTGCTATTTTTGCATCACGCTAGCTATCGATAGCCCTCACAAACAAATGGCATCATTCTACTTACAGCAACTCTGTTTGCAGTGGTGGGATCTTCGTCTACAAAATATAGTAGCCCCCTTCTTTCTCCTTTTCCTAGTAATTCTCGACCACTGGAAATGTGCAGTCCTAGAAAATGTAGCGTTCCTGCGCGTGGTTTTAAACATGAATCATCCTAGACATTTCTGTCACATCAAGATTAGAGACGAGTTCTGTTTAGAAGTGGCGCCAAGAACACGTTTTACGTTTCATTTTCACATCGAAAACCAGTCAGATTTGCTTCAGCCTCAAAGCGCGTGTTTGTGTAAAGTTGTGTTTTGGTTTTTCCCCTAAACTGGAATTGGCTAACAAGACAAGCAGCGTGGCAGTGGGAGGGGCCTTCCAGGTAGGAGCCGTCTACAAAGGGACGGCCTGCGAGGGAGGCGGGTGCAGGGCTGCAGAGCCCGACGGAGCTTCACTTCCGGAGCATGCCTTTCTTTGCGGCTTTGACTCTGGAACTGTCTACACATTTTGCATAATTATGAAACGACAGTAAATTTGAAAAAGTTTTTCAAAGTGGGAAACAAAGTGGAACGGATGAACCCGACAGTCCCGTGAGGTTCAGCTGCAGGGGGCCCTTTCAAGAGACGTTCGAACATGGCATAGATACGTTATGAAAAAAGGGCAGAGTTTCAAAATTAATTGACTTCAAAAATGCACTCCAGAAAGCAAGAAAATTATTAAGCGTTCCTAGGTTCATGTCCAAAGAACTCAAGTCCACTTGAAGGGGCTTTCATCATCAGCCAAGAGCGACCTAAGACTTCAAGGGAAGAGTAATGGCGGAAGAGGATGGAAACGCTCCGAAACCTCAAACATACCCAGACGTTTCTGGTAACACCGGGAATCTTGCCAGGAAATGGACCCTGAGTCTGTCCAAGTTCCAACTCCCTGTTTGTAGGAAATGCAGAGTATGAAAAATGCCACAAGGAAAACCCACCTGACTTCTTCATTAGGTAAATTGCAAGGAAAACCAAAGAGAGGAGCTGACCGACTAACGGAGGCTTCAGAGACATCTCAGCCAAAGGCAGGGCCTGGACCGCGTTTAGCTCTTCATTTAAAAAGGAACAAACACGTGAGAAAAAACAGCTTAATCAGTGAGCAGTGACTGTCCTTGGGTGGCAGTGGCTCTGGGGTTACATCTAAAAGGTCCTCACTCCGCAACACAGTGAAGTGTCTTCGGGCGAGCTGGGGTGGCGTTTGGCCGGGCCACATGGCACCTTTCGTTGACCCTGCGCGCTTCCACCTGCTTGGATCCCTGGCACACACAGATGCTCGTGGCCCTAAAAAAGGTGTTGCTTTCTGATGTGAGGAAAATTATTTTATGCGGTCTTACAAGCTCGCTTGTTCCTTCTGATTTCAGAAGAAAGTAAAACATTTTTGTGGGCTCCTGGGGGTTTTAGCCGTCTCCCGGGTGACTCTGATGCAGAGCCAGCTTGAGAGCCATTGGTCTGGAGTGGCAGTTCTTGAGGGGGGTGACTGACTCCTCCAGGGAACATCTGGCAGTGCGTGACTACCCCTTTGGGGGACAGACGGACACAGGACACAGGCATGTGGGTGTGTGGGGTGGTGTGGGTGGAATACCATGAGGCTACAGCCAGGCACACTGCTCACCCCCCTCTGAAGCACGGGGCAGCCCCCGGC